TTTTTTGAAAATAACCGAAACCGAACCGAACCGAGGTTTTTTTATTCCAAAAAAACCGAAACCGGAACCGAGATAAAATTTTTGGAACCGCACAGCTCTAATGGGGGGAGAGTGTCGGAAACTGTCGTAATTTAGAATTAGTATTTATGTTCACGCGTGGGACGCGCGAGTCCAAACTTTAAACACTTCGGAAAGTTCCGGATTATACCGGTGGTTGTTGTTTTTTCCAGGAGAGAACTTAAAAACATGTGGCTGTGAAACTTGTGATTTTGTAATAGATATTATACTGTGTTTTGTTGTGATTTATTTTGGGCGATACTTGGAGGCAATCCCCAACAGGGGGATTCTAATCTTAGCCAATTGGAGAGGCAAAATTTCAAAACTACCGTAACCTGAAGTTCAGGCCCTAATCACAGAATAGGGCCTGACACAAAACCTATCTAAACTGTGGGATTCCCGTCCATCTGGTGGACGGGAAATCTGATTGGTTGATCAGCATCATGAAAGATTTTGATTGGTTGCAAGTTGCTCAGTCAAGGGCTCAAGGCGACAATTAATATAAAGGTCAAACGCACGTAACAAATTCCATTATCGATTTCTTCGAATTTCTTTTCTTTTATGCTTTATGGCAGAAAATAAATCAAACAAACAGTATTTTGAAAGGGCTTTATCAAAATCTTTGACGAATTTTGGACACACGACGCTGAAAGAACAGCCAAATTAGTCATGTATTCGAAAGCTTGTTGTTGACAGCCAAGATGTTCTGCCAACTGGCTTTGCCGGCAAAAATCTTATTTTTAATATCTGGTCCTATCGACGTTGTTTTCTGAGCTACATCGCCTTCTTCGTGGTACGATTGAGAATTTCATTGTTGCTGTTGTTAGCCCGTTAGAGTATATCCACGTCCAGCAAGTTGAGACCTTAAGAAAGCTTGGCAGTCAAGCCGTGCACAGAACTGACTAATTAAATCTTTGTTTGCTGTTCGGTTAAATAGAGAAACTGACTCTTAATTATATAAAAGTACCTTGAATTTTTAAGTTTAACTAAAAAGCAAAATGCACATAATTTCTGCGGACATGTTCATGAGAATATAAATTTTTTGTGTAACGAAATCTACAACACTTGTCAATCATATTGCATGCTGTGTCTAAAAATAACATGTGGGCGTCCCACGGTCTAGACAGGTTTTGTGTCAGGCCCTATTTCAAATTAGGGCCTGAACTTCAGGTTAAAACTACCGGTACATTATTGTTTAGGAGCAGTCATTAAAAGTTCCATTTTGTGGTAACTAAAATAATGTGTGTGGCAAGATCGCAGGATCATCGCCAACCGGAGAAAAAACTGATGGGAAAAATGCCGGCAAAACAAAGTGATACCGACTGCTATATTTCCTTGACTTTACGTGTTTATAGTTTTTACTTATTACTGAATATTGCAAGCTTTACATTTCTACCGTATTACTGGTTTTGTCAAGTTTTCTACCACATTATCCTACTGCATTGCCTGACTGGAAAGTTTGTATTGCACGGCTGAGCAATTTTGGTGCTTTCTACATATTTACAAACTTTCCATACTGGCCGCATTTACAAAGCAGCTTCCCAGTATACATGTAAAAATTGAGAAAATCAACAACTTGTTCCAGGTTGATATCAACAGGCGTGAACAACGTTGTGCGGCCCACTATGAACAGTATTGTCAACATGTTGTTACAGCATTGTTCAACTGTAACAACTTGGAACAACATGGTTGACAACTTGTTCATAGTTGGCCGCACAACATTGTTCACGCCTGTCGATATCAACTTGGAACAACCTGTGCGTTTTTAGCCGTGTACAGGAGATCTTCCACTAAAGTGTCCTATTTTCCAGTCTGGAGTCAAATGAGTATAATAGGCATGGGACATTCCATGAAGTGATTGTCAGGGGGGGGGGAGGTAAAGTCAGTCAATTTAAAGTCAGCCAATAGACCTTTCCCCTTATGAGGGAAATTTCGATCTAGATATGCCTGGACAAAAATTTAATCACAGCTTGAAAGAGCATCACAAAATTAATAATATTCCAAAGTTTCGTTGCGAAATGTTGTAAAATGCGGATAATAATAGCCTTGCGAAGTTTGCCGTTTTTCAGTCATTTTGCATTACAAATGGGAAATTGATAATCAGATGATCAAACTGATTATCAATTTCCCATTTGTAATGCAAAATGACTGAAAAACGGCAAACTTCGCAAGGCTATATTATCCGCATTTTACAACATTTCACAACAAAACTTCGGAATATTACTAATTTTGTGGTTTATCAAGATAATTTTCTGTAATGGACCTTTCCCCTTTTGAGTGAAATTTTGATCTAGACAAATCTGGACAAAAATTTCATCACAGCTTGAAAGAGCATGGTTCAAATATATTATTCCAGTTAGGTATAAAGTCCAGTGGTGTACTGGTGTAGTTTTAGAAGAATTTTTATCAATTTTATGAACATTTCGAAGCTTGGTTTATAACATCAGACAAAACTCTAACTGAAACTTTTAGTTTTTAGAAATCTTACTGTTCATATTTCTGGTACATTCCAAGGTTCCCGCCTGAAACCAACGGTCGTTTGGCCAGAATAATTTTCTCCTTTCCTTAATTCCTTTCGCCCGTAAAATGAATGTTGACCAATTTCTGAAGATCACAGGTTGGCATTTCGAAAACCAGATTAAGCCGCCGGTCTACCACAGCCCTTACCTTGTAATAAATCTCGTCAACTACGGCATGATATGTCTTGAATTCGTACAACTGATTTTTGAAGTACGGTGATGCTTGGATATTTGTTAAAATCATAGTGTTTAAATTCATAGTTCGTTCGTTTCCCCATACCGGTAACGTATTAGGCTTCTTCTTTGTCTCCCCGTCCATGATAAAATGCAGTAAAATAAACAATTTGCACGAAATAAATAAAAAAATAAACGGAATTCGCAAAGTGTGAATGAATAAATTTTTCACTGGAAAAATACGAAAAATTTACGAATAGTTTGTGCGCATAAATTCTGTTGAAATACCGCTGCTGAAAATTTTATTTGTATCGCGGTCGCGATAATTTGTAATTTTGTTGCTTTGGTAATTTTCGGGATATTCTTGTTAAATTTGGTAATTAGTCGGATGCATCAAAATACACAGTCACAGGTGTTAAATTTACTACAATTACTAGTAATCTGTTTTTCTAATTAAAACAATAACAAACACAGTTTTCGATCACTCAGTAATGGGTTCATATATTTGAAAAACATGAGTTGAAAATTTCAATACCACCTACCCTCATTTTTGAGACTCGATCCGGTAGGGGTTTCAGTAAATTTTATTGACCATTGGCATTGTGTTCTATCAGTATCTTATTAAATAATCTGCAACAAATTTCTAGGAAATTATCGAGAATACCGTAAACCTCCGAATATAAGCCCACCCGAATATAAGCCCCTCCGTGTTTATAAGCCACTCCGCGGCTCCGTGGTTTGAAAAAGAACTGAAATAAGAATATCTGAACTGCCCACATTTCAGAAAGACGACTGACAATTCAAAGCAACTGCATGCGTGGGAGGCGGGAGTCGCCATCAGTCGTCATTCGATTAAACTTATAATAATTTTGTGCGGTCAAAAAGAACTGCTCTAAAGTTGCTACTTAATCGACAAATTATAACAGGAATCAGTAAAGTCACTCCAGTATAACAACAAGGCCATGCACATAAAATAAATTCCTTGATTCTAATCACTACATTTTGAAAATGTCGAAGAGGCGGGAGGTTTATATTTTATATTTATAAAATTTATATATCAATATAAATACAAACATAATTCCGAACATTTAATATTTCTGTCACATGCCGAAATAAACATATTACATTGACACATTTCTGTAATTTCCAACGTATCTCCACGACTGAATGACTGAATCAGTTGAGGCTTGAACTGAAATGCGAAGTTCCTTTACATGAAATGCAATGAAATCTCTTTCAAGATTCTGTTTGTTTGAAATTGGCAGTTTAAAATATCATTCAGAAAAATCCAATACAAAATATAAAAAACTTAACTGTCTTGAATTATTTTGTCGAGCGGTACATTTATATTGTATAACGAGAAATATAAAAAAAATTTACGAGTCGAATCTAAAATACAGTCGGGCGGTGATGAGAATCAACTATCAAGGAATTTATTTTATGTGGCCTAAGATATGAAATTTGCACAATATATTAAGATTGTTTAATAGTTGGTAGTCCCTTCTCTAGTTTTTGATGGGTCGGGTATTGTGGATGGAATTTGTCGAGTGGAAATTTATATCACATTTAGTATAGATCTAACCAAGGGACATCCTCGTATACCCAGGGTAGAAAGTCCCTGAGACGGAGATTGAACCAGAAACAGAAGCGAAAAATGCAACTTTAGGTCCCTGGCGGGAAGTGCATGTAACCCTGCGATATACAGAGGCCAGTTGTCGAGCTCTAACCACAAGTTCGTGTATATATATACTAGGCTACTGCCATGTAGGCTATATAGGTTATGGGTATTTACCCATAACCTATACATGGCAGTGCCCTATAGTATATATACATGAACTTGTGATTAGAGCTCGACAACTGGCCACTGTATCTCAGTTGGTTAGAGATTTTTGTAGCATCTTACTGGAATGAATGATATTTGATGGGTATTGCATAGATGGAAATTGTACGTCGAGTGAGAATAAATGTATACTCGGATTTAATCCGTTCAAGTTGAGGGCCGAAAATTCTTGCAGATATTGAATGTGGAAATTTCCAAATAATTGTATATTTAATTATACTGGTATCTATGGCTGCACACGAGCCAATTTTAATTTTGTGACCATTTTGCTATGACAATTTTTATTCGCTTGCGGGCATGCAAAGAGAATTCGCTCAATTTCAGTGTGGCAAAGAAAAACTGTCAATTACCAATGTTGCATGTAAAATCGTATGTATGCGTCGTCACAGAGTATGAAGGCTATAAGCATCTTGCCTTGTTTTGTCCGTGTTATCGTTGTTCAACGCAATTTTTAGCGCCAAACACCGAAGACTAATAGTTGTATAATTTTATTCACATTAAGCATTCTTTGTTTTTGATTCAGTAGACGCCATGTACGCTACAGCGTACCTATTTTTAAGACTTGATCCAGTATTTGAAACAAATCACTAGGAAATTATCAAGAATACCGTAAACCTCCAAATATACAGTAAGCCCACCCGAATATAAGCCCCTCCGTGTTTATAAGCCCCTCCGTGGTTTGAGAATGAAAATAAGAATATCTGAACTGCCCACATTTCAGAAAGACGAACAATTAAACAAAGCAACTAGATGCGTGGGAGGCGGGGGTCGTCTATCAAAAAAATATTATGTTTTGCTTACAACTTAATCTTAAACAGTTAAACTTATACACAGGCAGTCAAAAAATACTGCTTAAAAGTTTCTG